TGCCTTGGTCCTGCCCTGATAGTGCGGCCGTTGGAATCCTTCGTGATAGCGACGGTTTCTTTTATGTTTTGAGTTCGTAGGCGAGGGTTTTTGATCCGGATGGCCGAGTTTTTTCCTTGCACCCGTTGTTGTATGAGTAACTTAAGTAGATCTGGAGTATCCATGCCCCACTGATGGTTTGTCAATAGCTTGACGATCCGGGGAGGGTGCTCGTGTGTCTGGATACGAGCATGGTAGATCTGCTAGCAGCACGGGGGGGGGGTACGTAGACAGGAGCATGCGTATGCCTGAAAAAAGGCTACTATGTGTGGGCCCCCTTCCCCGAATTCGGGAGAGCCACTTCTTCCCTTCCTTTCCTCGCTCCCGCGGGTGCCTAATCAGAGAGAGTTAAAGCGTGTCTTCTCCTCCCAAGTACGGACATACCAACAGCTCAACTGCAGTGGAGGGGCTGCTGTGCATCAAAGACGTGTCTTGAAAATATGGACAGGTGCAACCTCGAAAGGCACCCAGACATTCTTTGAACGCGATTGCGGAAGAAGGGACGGTTGATTCGATCCTCTCCAAGATGCGGGAAAACACCACCACTGCTACTACCGTGGTGTCCACCATAAGCGCGAACGGCGACACGTTTGCGCCAACGATAATCTTCGAAGGGCGGCGACTGGACCCTGAACGGCCCGCGGGGCGCGAGGTACGCCTGCTATACGGAATCTTCATCCATGCGGACCAACGCGTTCATGGACTACCTGAAGGACTTCCACAAGCAGCTCGGCGGGCTTGGCTTGCTGGACGGGAAGCCGCATATCCTCGTGCTCGGAGATGGACTCGCCTCACGCGTGGTGGTGACCTCGGACGCCATCAGGCTGGCCGTGGACCTCAACATCGTTCTCTTCCAGCTCCCCCCCCCACACTTCGCACATCACCCAGCCCTTGGACGTCGGAAATTTCAAGCGAGAGGTGACGAAAGTGCTGTCAAGCTCCCGCCTCAAGAACGGCGGGATACTGCCGCGGAAAAACGACGTGCCAGGGGCAATCGCAGAGCTCTGCGCTTGGAAATCGAGCTTTTCACCGGAGCGGAGCAGAACAAGGCATCATTCGCCGCCGCGGAGCTATGGCCAGTGAACAAGGACCGGGCGATAAGCCGACTATGGGGAACGGCAAAGAGAAAAACGCGGCCAACCGATCGCCCACCCCTGGAGGATGTCAGCATCGTTGCTTCAATCCAGGAACTCGAAGAATCTCTCGGCGGGGCGGCCGTCAAAGACCTGGAGGTGAATGGGCATCTCGTCGTGGGGGTCAAGGCAAGTGCGGTGATGGTCGGGGGGCTCTTGAACAGGTGATCTTCTGTATTGAGGATGGTACTTTCTTTTGAGGATGAACACCGCGTACTTTTGTCTGCCAGAAGTCCGAAAACATTTTATCCCGTGTAATGTTTTCGAGTCGTGGGGATCACCTCCGCGACATATCTATCTGACCGTATGTTTGTGTAGTTGTTCAGGTCGCGAAGTAAGACCGGATTCTCCACCTACCTTCATCTTTCTCCTTCGGATAACGAGTTTTCTTCCTCCTTCGGATAACGAGTTTTCTTCCTCGTTCGGATAACGAGTGTGTTTACGGGAGGCGAACCCTACAATTTGGTGAGGCTCAACTACCTATCTAGTCGGTGAGAGAGTGGAGGAAGAAGACGACGCAGAGCGAACGAACGATTTTCAAGGAAAGCTTGGTTGGACTTTCCCCGCTCGCTGGGGTGTTTCCGAACGAAAAGAACAGGAAAATACATTAATTACAGTGTATGTACTTTCAGGTTGTCTTCCACGAAGAAAGTTGATTCACCACCTGTGTGTGGGCTCCATCCAGTCAGTAGCTACCGTTTCTATCGAGGCCTACGTCGCTTAAACCCCTGCAAAGCAAACACAACACCGGCGCTCCTCGGGATTCATGGACAAGCACCACGCCTGGGCCGGAAGTGCGCAGCAGTCAACCTTACTCGCGCGGTTGGCGGTGACTCTTGTGTGGTGGGGTTTGGCCTCTTACGTACCTCTGCACTTTTCTGGCCTTCGTCCCTGTGAGGAGCGGGCGCCTCCATGGCTGTCGGCAAGCATTCCTCTCCACACACCCCTACACCGGCACATTCTTCTCCCCCTTCACTTCTCCCGCTACCCTGAAGAGTCATGGGCTCTCTTGCTTCATCGCGCCCATAGTTTTCAGTTCCCTTCTCCTGCTCCTGCTGTACACCCGCCGAAGAATCGTCTTCGGTTAGTTCGTCCTCAAACATTTCATCCCGCACCCCCTCCTCCTGTTCGGCCAACCTGGGTTCATCTCTAATGATACCATTCGCACGATCCCTGGCCTCTACTGCAGCCCGTAGCACTCTCAACACCTTGGTAGGAACCTTTCTGCCGTTGCCTACAAGCCTCTCGCACGTGGCAACAATACCTTCTACAGGCTCCCAGCTGACGTCCTTCACCCTCTTCGCTTTTCCGCTCCGCCCATTTCCGTTGCATGTATCCAACACGAACCCCTCCACGAAGGTACTGTTGCTGTACTCCCGCAGTGTGACGGATGCGGCGTTGTTGCTCAGGTAGTCACTACTTGGACGAAGCCAGTGAAGGTCTACCCCACGCTCTCCTTCCTCGCCGAGCCTCTCCGCAACTATTCTGCCGACCAAAAAAGGAGCCCGCCGTGCAACGAAGAAGGCAAAACTTCCCACCTGCACACTGATAGGAGGGCTTCTATCGGTCGTTGGTCTCCCCGTGGCACGAGGCCGACCTCGCCGGCGAAACTCGGGTTCCATGTCACTATCTGAAGAGGTGTCATCGGCTTCGTCGTCAATGCCGTCATGGTCGTGCCCTCCCGAGCCGTTGAAGTCTTGTTCGGCGTCATTATTGTCGCCAGTATCAGGTCCAACGTTCTCTTCGTCGCCGCTGCCGCTGTCGTAGACGGGAAGCCAATGCACCGGGAGGTCGAACTCCCGTTCGCCCGTCTGCCTAAGAAGCCGCACGGACTGCTTCTGCTCGTCTTTCGCTCTCTGCACGGCTCCATCGTCTGCGGAGGTGAACGTGGGCATAAACAACAGGAGAGTGTAAGGCCGCTAAAAGTAGGGGCGATCGAAGGGCTTGTGTGACGTGTTTCGGAGTCTATGTCAGGAACCTCCAGCCTAGACGATCGTTTGGCGTTGAATGGTAAAGTCTTGCGTCTTTCACTCTCTGCCACACGTATCGGTGGTCCAAACGATCGCGCAGGTGATGACGCACAATGGCTGCCCTGTGGCCGACGCGGAAAACTGTGTGCCTCTCAGCGCCAACTTCGCAAGCACACCGCTCTTTGTTGTGGTGTATATGGTGAGGCAACAGGGGCGCTACCAAGTGGCCTGGCCGCTCTTCTTCTTTCGTCGGAGCTACTCCACCATGAATAAGCAGGTCTGTACAGCCCCCGGATTGCTTCACGCTCGCCCGGTCGTGACGATACGATTCTATTAAGGGTAGTTGCACTGAGACTACCAACGTTCACAACTACGACGCGAAATGCTGGGCTCACCTAGTGGAAATGCTGCAGCCAAGCGCTCGTGCGATGCCAGATAACGCTGCTCCACCTTCTGAATGACGTCTTCGGGCACGCGCTTGAGCTTGTAGGGAGGTGCATCTTGGATGCGAGGAGGGCTACCGATGAAGAGGTCGTGCGGAAGAGCATCAGGGTTTAAGTTGCCATCCTCATGTATCCCATTCCACTCGGCACCATGCATGTGCTTCTTCACGCGAACCTTCACCCGCCCATCACCGCCCTTTTCAACCCGAAAAGCCCTGTAGGTCGTGATGTTTGGGACACGGTTGACGCGACCGATGAGAAGCCCTTTGAAGTTGCCCTCATTCCGCAGCGTACTGCAAAAGACTGGCACCTCAGTGTACGACGCCCGAAGCTCTTCCGCCAGATGGGTCCGCGTGAAAATGTTCTTCCCTTTTATTCCACGTGAGAATCTGCTATTGGGGGGAGGGGGACATTTGCGTTCGTGACCTTTGGTGTCTCAGGTGAAACGATCAGATGTTGGACACACGTGCGACGTGCTAAGCTGCTCGCGAGACAGCGATGGCTGGGTTGCGCCCTCGAGGGTGTGCACGGTCGACAGTGTTCGGCAAGCGGAGGAGGAGGGCGTTGGGTGGACCATAAGTGGAACGTCTGTCTTGCAAATTGAGACATGGACAGAGCTACGACGAGCACCTAGAAAAGCGGAGTAGACCTAAGACTGGTCAATGGCTTGGCCCGAGTTTGCCGATATGAATAGCCTTGGTTGTTGCGCTCCGGGAGCTCATGAACAAATCCATTTGGTTCAACATCTCACAGTGGAAGGTCACCAGAAGCTGGCGTCGTGCAGTTCCTCACGGGAGTTCGAGGGTTCGAAAGGAGCTACACAACCATCAGGCGGGTTAGGAGCCGCGGAGAGCGGTACGTACTTTTGTGCACTTTACGTCGTTTACCTCCACATCCACGTGGCGACGTACGCAGTTTTTTGGTTCGGAGTGATGTGTACGGGGAAATAGAGCTCCGGGTCAAGACCGAACGGCTGCTCACTGACGCAAAGTTTTTCGACTTTACTGGGGTGCGCACAGCAGCCGGAATAGACGTGAGGGTTTCTCCAGAGCAATATAACGTGGGATTTACCAACACCCTCACCTTGAAAAAACCTGATCGATCTTCGTGTGAGTGTGGCCCACCATCATGAAGTGGATTTCCACCACGCGCACAACATCGGCCGCCACAAGGAGTCCCGCATATCCGAGAAAGAAATTGTTCTTGTTCTCGGAGACGCAGTTGTCGACCTAAGATGGTTCGAGGGCAGTGGGGACGAAGGGAAGCACATGGATGTCGGGACACATTATTGAAACAGGGCACGTGAGTACCGAATCACCACCCGCACTAGCCACTCTCAGGTAATAAATAATGAATAGATGTTGACCAGTATGCCTATCGCATGCAGTGCCATATCCAACAGTAGAATCCACGAATCAACTGTCAAGCTCCTCTCGCCTGAGACAATTGAGAAAAAGAACCATTTCACCTGCCAATGCGCATGCTGGATGATGCACCCGGAAGGATGGGGGGGGCTGTCGTGGTACTTGTCGATGATTCGTGTGATGGCCAGGTGAGCGGCTGTGCAGGCAAGGTTGCAACCTGTACGAAAGAAAGTAAGTGCGCGTCTGTCAGCGTGCAGGGAGGCAGCCACTCTGTGTACGTCGTACGCCGATCTTTGGGAAATGATGCAAACTTCGGCTTTCGCGGTACCTTCAGCGTTGCGTGAAGCTGATACCAGTGTTGTGCCTGTTCCCTCTATTTCCCTCCCGACTATCCGGGAAAAATTGTGCTACTTGCCCAACCCTCGGGGAAGCCCTCATCACTGTGGCAGCTTCCGTCCTAGCACGGTCAATTCGATCCTACGCTTCAAACCCACCTCCGCCGAGATACTGTGGAGTGAAGTAAACTTCGACGAACTGGCCTTCAATGTGCACCGCCATGATTTTCTGCCGCTCAGAGTAGCCCCTGCCGCAAGATGCACAACCGAAAGCAAGGCACGAAGAGAGAACAAAGCGCGGAGGTTGATCACGTGTTCCAAGGCAACGTCCCTGGATATAGAGAAGAATCGCGTGCATCTTTGCCTTTGAATAACAGCAAGCAACCACCGCGGGAGCAAAATAATCACCTGTCACCACCGTGTGTTGGTGGATAGATGGCCGGCAGGGCATGGGAAGTCGAGTTCGCCGCGTCAATGGACATGAAGACGAAGTTGAGAGGTTTCCCGTCGGCTTTCGCCCGCATAGCATCGCCCGTCCTGTTGGCGATCACTAGCCGATCGGCTTGGACCATCTGGTGGACCAACGCAAGAAGCATAGTGAGCAAGGGCGCAAACAAATCACAATCGAGAAAGAAAGTGAGAAGGAGGGATGTACGCTCGTAACCATGTGCAAGGTGGGAACTTAGCGCGCGAGGGCTCGCTCCAGAGACAACAAGTCTCTTGTTTTTCTTCGGTGCGCCAACAAACAACAAACAACAACAAACAGTGTAATAGCTCGAAAAGAAACACAAAGCAAAAATTAGTACCGTCAGAGGTGTCTGCACCGAAAGGATGTCGATGTGCCCCTCGCCCACGTATGTTATGTCAAGTATTACTTCAAGATTCTCTGGCTTAACGCTCGCTGAACACCGACCTGACGATGGGCTGCCAAGTCTCGGTCGATGGACGCGAGTGCGGACGAATCCAACGAAGGTTTGACGCCCGGCGAACCATGCCGCCTCTCCTTCAAAGTGACGCAAATGTCACATTTCATGAACTCTCCTCCGACCCTCACCCTAATGTGGGGTCTGTCCTTTCTGGGAATGCGGAAGAAATGCGCCTTGCTCACTCGCTTGGAAGTGTCTTCGGGATAGACGCGTTTAGCCTCTGTGAGGAAGTCCTGGTAGAGTTCCTACGTGAGACGTTACGTTTGCGATTGTGGGGGGTGGTGTACTGCTGTAGCGCTGGATGTCGAATCTCGTGGACTGCCAAGGTGGTAAGAACACTAAAGCCGAACGCCGGTGGAATCACATACGCGCCTGCAATTTGTCATCCCCGTTTCTGAGGAACGAAGAGGTAAAGCTACAAGTCAGTTAGCCCTGCAGGCAAAGTCGACACGATCCGATACACACACCGAGGACACTTGGTGGCGCAAAAGCACTCAAGAGAGGTCACTGAGGCTGTCCGGGTGCCCTCTTCCTTGTTCCAGCCCTGCGCCTCTAGCATGCATCAGCCTCACCTCTTTGTTCGAACTGCAGATGACTACGTGGTCTTTGTGGGGCATGAACTGGCCGTACGTAGACGAACGCCCAGTAGTCGATCCAGGAGAGAACAAAGTCTCGCTTAGGAGCTATGCCCGTTCCGTCGCCGCTTGTTCTGTTTGTTCAAGCAACAAAGTTTGGAACATTGACTTTAATGCCATGAGCGTTTGACTTTGTAGCGTTTGACTTCGCTGACTTTGTTGCTGTGGGCGTGAATGTTCGTCTGCTGTCGGTGGCTATCTTCCAAGGGTTGCAGAAGAGCGGGACAACCACGCAGGAAAACGAGCCTGCTTGCCCTACGCCCAGAACGACACACACCACTTCTACCCCAGCAACAGCACG